CACCCACCTTTCCCTTCTTATTCTGTTGACCTTGTTTGTGGTCAAAACCCAGGGCCTTTTTTTGTAGCAGGAACTCCTTTGCATGTTAGGCCACACACCCCTAATGTAGCCAATCCTAATGAGTTTCTGTTGTTGGGTGTGGCCTATTATGCTAATTAGTTCCTGCTGGGTGTGGCCAACTTGGGAGCCAGCCGGAACTCCGTTCCTGTGCGTTCCTGCCCAAAAATAGCCCTGGTTTCCTCTGTCATTACATCAAATGCTCAGCTGCAGGAATCAAACGGTCAGCCTTTACCTCTAGGTGTTTAGCCAGCCGGCCAGGCTGTAAAGGGATAATGTGCTCATAAGATGACAGTTTCCTCCGGATCGGCTCTTGGTAATGGATTTCAAACTGGACTTTGGTCCCTCCGGGCACGTTGAGTTCGGCTTTGAAGTTCTCCATGTCGAGAGAGTTGCTCCTGGGTACAGTCAACAGGATGCAAAAGACAATCTTAATGCGCCGATGACACGCAGTCTCTCAATGGGAAGGGTAGATCCCATAACGGTCTTAAAACCAAAAACATCGGTTTGCTATGAAACGTTTTATTTGGCCGGAAAAGAGAATATTCATGCAACCGTTTTGTCCAGTAGGAAGTCAACACAAATGGAGCATTTCAGTGATTTTGGTGTTTTTCGAATCGTGATCACAGAGCTTCCAAAAGGAAGGCTTTGTTCCTAGCTATCCCATGTAATATCCAGGGGACATTTCCTGCAGGAGCGCCCAGGAGTGGAACTCCGGCAGTAAAGAGCCCAGGGGGTGGGCACATGCAACAAGCCCCGCCCCCTGCTCCCAGCAGCCCTGGGCCACGAGGAGCAAGAAGCAGCCAGGTAAGTTGCAGTGGGTGTTGCCTTCTGACACACTTCTGGCGATGGCAGGGGGTGTGGCATATGCAAATAAGTTATGCTAACGAGTTATGCTAATGAGCGCCTGCACCTCTTTTTCTATGAAATGATCCCTGGTAATATCACATGAGGAGAAGCAGTGTTTTAGTGGAGGCATGCAGAAGGTCCCAGGTTCAATCCCTGGCCTGTCCAGTTCAAGGGGCCAGAGAGGAGGTAATGTGGAAGACTTCTACCTGAGACCCTAGTTCCTACCAGTTAGGGTTGCCAAGCCCCCCCGGCCACCAGCGAGAGATGCAGGGGAAGGGTTGCCACCTTCAGGTTGGGAAACTCCTGGAGATTTGGGGATGGAGCCTGGGGAAGACACAGGGCCGGCTCGCCTGCTAGGCGAGCTAGCTGCTCGCCTAGGGCGCGCTGGCCCTCAGGGGTGCCAAACTGCGCCCCCCCACCACCCTTACCAGCGAGAGAGAAAAGGCGGCGGGGATCGAGGGTCTCTGCCCGCCAGCCCCTCTCGCTCTCTCTGTGTACCCGGCCGGGGTGGGGGAGGCGGCTCCGCAGCTCGCCCGCCCTCCCCCCTCAGGTGGCCAGCGGGCGATCACCGCCACCATGGGAAGGGGCCGGAGAGGGGAGCAGGGCCCCGCAGCAGCTGAACCCCCTCCCAGCGAGAGAGAAAAGGTGGCGGGGATCGAGGGTCTCTGCCCACCCGCCCCTCTCGCTCTCTCTCTGCGCCTGGCCGGGGTGGAGGAGGCACACATGAGGGGGGGGATGGAGAGCAGCTGGGGTTTTTCCCCACCTCTGCCCGCCCCCTTTTCTAACCACGACATCAACTCTAGCTCTCCTGTTGTGGTAACAAGAGACCGGAAAGCTATGCAGTCAAGGTCCGTACCTCAGTATCCCAGCCGTTTTGCCCCTGGCCCTGGCTTGTGCATATTGGCTGCGGGCTTCGGATTTCTCTTTGATCGAGCTGGTGAACGTGATGCCGTTGACATTCCTGAAAGACAGAAGGAGCAAAGAGGGATCTGATCCAAGGACATTTCATGATTTAGAACCGTCCTCTCCCGCCTCTCTCCTGAAAGAGCCACAAGTACACCGAAGAAGGGAAAATTCGTCTAATCATAGAAGCCCAAGGGAGGAGGAGAGTTAATGGGGAGAAATGCCTCTGAATTTTCAGGGGCTAAAAACGGTATTGCCAACCTCCAGGTGAGGCCTGGAGATCTCCCGCTGTTACAGTTAATAGGGAGAAATGCCGCTGAACTCTCGGGAGCTGAAAAACGGAGCTGAAAAAGCATTGCGAACCTTCAGGTGAGACCTTGAAATCTCCCGCTATTACAACTGATCTCCAGACAACAGAAATCGCTTCCCCTGGAGGAAATGGCTGCTTTGGAGGGTGGAGTCTATGGCCTTTTACCCTGCGGAGGCCCCTCCCCTCCCCAAACC